TTGGAGCTGGGTCAAATATGTAGAGATGTTGGCCTTCCTCCAGGCGTCTTAAATATTCTAACTGGATTAGGCCCCGAAGCTGGTGCCCCTTTGGCATCACATCCTCATGTAGACAAGGTTTTATGATCTTCAGATTTTAGGAGAATTGAAACTACTATTGGGATATAATATATATATATATATATATATATGTTTCTGTCTTTCACGTTTTTTCACCATTATGTTTCCCAAATTTGCAAAGCTACTATGTCATCGTTGCTGAATTTTAAATTTTCAACAGATTGCCTTTACTGGAAGCTCCATGACTGGGAGCAAGATTATGACAGCTGCAGCTCAACTGATCAAGGTACTTTAAAGCAGTATAGTCAGCAAACTATGTAAGGTTCACAAATCACACTGTTTATCTTCTTTGATAGCTAAAGGACAAAACAGAACCCAAACAGGCTTCGTTTTTTGCTTACATATTCTGTTTTATTGAAATATCTCACATTTGTTTCTTGGCAGCCTGTTTCACTAGAGCTTGGTGGGAAAAGCCCAATTGCTGTTTTTGAGGATGTTGACCTTGATAAAGGTCTGCACCTTCTCAATCGTACCTAATTATTTATGCACTGCCTATGTCTCCTTGCATTTTTAGCCACATTTCCTCTTAAGCCTGTAGATGTGTAAATTTTTTATATCTAAAGTAGATTTCTTGATTTAAAAAGATACCCATGCACAATTCAGCATTGGTTGATCTGTTGTCCATGTCTTAAGCAGCTGTTGAATGGACCATGTTTGGCTGTTTCTGGACAAATGGTCAGATTTGCGCTGCCACTACCCGTCTTATTATACATGTGAGTTTAATAGAGACTAAGTTTGCAATGCTCCATTCCCTAACCATTCATGTGCAATTTCAAAGTCAAGGTCAAGTATTTGTTGCCTCCTTATCTGACATTTTTCCCCTTTGGCTTTGTTGCATAATGAGAAGATCATATTAATTTAGATCGTCAAAAATTTTGTTCTAACAACTTTGGAGGCTTTCCATTTGGCTTCATTTCTGAAAATTGATGAGGTGATGTCTCTTGTTTCAGGAAAGCATAGCTGAACAATTTTTGAATAGGCTTGTGAAATGGATTAAAAACATCAAGATATCAGATCCCTTGGAAGAAGGTTGCAGGCTAGGTCCAGTTGTTAGTAAAGGGCAGGTATCTTCTCATTTCCGCTGGCTAAGATCATTGCATTATTGTATTATAAACAAAGTTTAATGTGAAAAAAATATGCCTTCCGCATTCATTTTTAAAATGATTGCATCTGATGTAACAGAAGGATTCATAACTAAGGAGTGAAAACATATGATGTTTAATGATATTCATATCTCAAGATTTGTTGACTGCAACTTATATATATTTGCCTACAAAATTGGATAGACGTTTTGCTCAACCACTTTAATAATTGATGCCAAAAAGTTAAATGCAGGTCAACTTAATATGTATGTGCATATGTAGGCGAATGCCAGCTTAGCTGCTCATCTTCAAATTGGGCGAATAACACTGTCCTTGTCCTCTTTCCTAAAATCTTACTGCAAATGGCACGATTACATTTAGTCACTTGACGGACATCTTTCAATCTTTTAGTTTTTTATCTTGGGCCCAACTTTAAACTTGTAAATTGGAGACCCAGAAAGCCATCTGCCAAGTGTTTTTAAGAAAATTTAGAAGAGAAACAATCCAAATTCTTCAATTTTATTCGAATGGCAGGGACGCAGATTTATAGGGATGATCATAGTTTCCAGTGGAATCCCATGAAGCAAATGAGGAAAGAAATAAAAGGAAGTAAAAGATATAAATCAAGGAAAATATAATGATAATAATTTTACTCATTTTCCTCCTGACCTTATAGCTCAAGTTTTCGTTTATTTATGAAATTATTTTGCTGAACTGAGATTTTGCAATATCTAATATTTGAATTATATGGTTCAGTATGAAAAAATATTGAAGTTCATCTCAACTGCCAAGAGCGAGGGGGCAACAATTTTGACTGGTGGATCTCGCCCTAGGGTATATTATTTCCTCTGGTATATTTTTGCCCAATTTTGTATTGCTGATTTTCTGTTATTGTTTATAGGATTAATGGCTTTTCAAATTATTGACAGCATTTAAACAAGGGTTTTTTTATTGAACCAACTGTTGTTACTGATGTAACTACCTCTATGCAAATTTGGAGAGAAGAAGTTTTTGGACCTGTTCTCTGTGTAAAAACATTTAATACTGAGGAAGAAGCTATTAAACTAGCAAATGATACCCAGTGAGTTTATCTGAGTCTGGCAACTGAAATTACTTTTACCATTACGCTTGGTTTTTCTCTTACTTTATTTGCAAATCGACATCAAAGTTGATATATATTTTGATCTTTTATAGATATGGCTTAGCTGCTGCTGTGATATCAAATGATCTAGAAAGATGTGAACGCTTAACTAAGGTGAGACTGATCTGAGATTGTCATGAAAACAACAAAGTAATTCGGTTGCTTTTGGATTATTATTATTATTATTTTGGAATAGGTTGCTTTTGGACTAAAATAGTCTATTATTTTGGTTCTCTGTAGGCTTTTCAGGTGGGAATTGTATGGATCAATTGCTCCCAACCGTGCTTTACTCAAGCCCCATGGGGAGGCATTAAACGTAGTGGTTTTGGTCGTGAATTAGGAGAATGGTATGTCCTTATTTCCTAAATAATAAATGCAAGAGTCACTATGAATGCTTTTTATAATTACTACAAGTGATTGCAACAACACTATCTTGTTATGATGGAGAAAATTCTAATTAACAATCTTCTACAAGTGATTGCAACAATACATGTTTTGTGATGCCTAAAAGCTTTAACAATCTTCAGTTGGTAACAGGAGTTCCGTCATATGAAAATAACAGGCATACCGAGAAACTGACAAGACAAAAAACCGTGATACATACTTGGATGCAAAGAGAAAACAAATACACGTATTTTGTCAAATCTGAGGAAAAACAATATCCCTTTCTTACGACTGTTGATTTTTTTTTTTTTGGGGAATTTTCAGGGGGCTTGAAAACTACTTGAGTGTAAAGCAAGTGACTCAATACATATCAGATGAACCTTGGGGGTGGTACCAGTTTCCTTCAAAGCTGTGATAGCTGACGCCTGACAGTCATGGTTTTTTGTATTTAAAACCGACGCAGAACTTGGTGAGGACGAATCCGAGCCTTCAAATATAAGTTGGGAAAGTATACTATGAGTAAGGAGAACTGGTTTGTTGTCAAGTTGTTGCTTTGTTGTGTTGTTTAAGTTGGTCATGGCATCTTATATTATCTGTTCATCCTTGTGTGGTTGCATCAGAGCAGAGATGAGTTTCAGGACATTAGTGTCACTCATTTGAGACAAACGGCAATAAACTTACACGGTATCTATCAATTTATAGGTCAGGCATATTCTCTCTAGTGCTTCGTATGCCAAATTGCTCTTTTTTTCTTTCCCCTCTCTTGCAAAAAGGTACTTTGTAGTTGGTGAGTCACAGCTTGTCAGCTTGAATGATATGAAATGTGAATAGTGAGCAAGAAGTCAAAATAATAATGAATAAAATGAAATAAATATTGTTAGTTAGTAGTTACTATCATTATCATTATATAAAAAATTTCTACTTTCTATCCGATATGACTCCATTTCCTCTCTATCAAAAGTTCTACCAAATCGTAGCCTAAAAGCATGTCATTCCCATTATCTCTCTTTTTGGTTTTGGCTACTCAAGTCAAACGTTTTATGATTTAAAAAAAAAAGATTAAAAATTATTACAATTGGCAATACATTATTGAGAGTCAAAAATAACTTGCAACTGGTTGGCCAAAAAAAATGTGCGACTGTTGTTATTTATGTTACTCCTTCTAATTTAGCCTGCATTCAAACTTTTTTCTCAAATAAATGTCAGTTATTTATGAGATAAGAAATTCTTATATATTATTTTTGTTGGCCAATAAATTTTTATATACTATTTCTTTATAGCGAATTCTCATACACAATTGAGTAAAGTAAATCTTGTTATATGGCTTGTTTAATGAGTGGGATTGATTTGCTAATAGTTCCATTGTATGAGAAAAATATTTTAAAAATAACCAATCTCTATAACAATTCATAATGTATGACCAGTAATAATCAAAATTCAATATAAAATAAAAGTTATGAAAGGTATAATAAGTTGCATCAGTGCTCTTTTCTTTCGGGCTCCATATAAATGTACGAGACCTACCTTAGTTATCGTAAACTATAGAAATTATAAAATGGCGGTAATTATCAATAAACATGTAGCTCAACTAATTAAGAGTGTATTAGCTTAATCTGTAGTTTTGAGTTCACTTTGCCACCAATACAGTCCTACTCAATTCGATCCATGAATAATGAATAATTGGATAAGAAAATAGCATTAATTGATTTTAATAATTGTTATAATTGCAGCGTAGAGAAAGGCAAATAGCTGTAACTGTGCTCATCGAGCAAACACATGATTAGTCTGTCGTTTTATCATGTGATTAGGTGCAAAGTCTTGTTACTTGTTAGAATTATATGCGCAAATGCCAAAGTAAGGTGCTTCCCAGAAGCTTACCTTTAAAGAAGAAAAAAAAAAAATAAAAAAACAACGGGGAAAGGCATCCTTTTGAGAAAAGCTTTTGTGAGAGAAGGGGATAGAAGAAATGTTAGCGCATTCTTAAACTCAACTTTTAAATTATCATACCAAGATTTAATCATACCAGTTGCACTTTAAGCTCTTTGTTTACAAGAAATCGCATGAACTCTTTTTTGGACTGCTCTACTGGAAATTATTGGAAGCCAAAAGCAAACCAAAGATAGGAAATGAACTTCATTCATATAAGATGAAAGAGAAGAAAATCAGACCAACACAAATGAACGAGTTCTCAAAGAACATGTTCCACAGGGAGTCAGGGACCATGTGACAAATTAGGTAGTAAAATGAAGAATCCGAATAGCATCGCAGAGGAAAGGTAGATGGAAGCTTCACATTTCAGGATCCATGAGAAAACCATTCCATTTTTAACTCTCTAGCAATTACCGTACACAACCCGCCAAACTGTGAAGTGTCGTTGTCTAATTTGTTTTCCTTCCCACTCTCGATTGACCCTCCCAATAGGATCGCAATAAAAGTGGGTCCGCGTAAATTCTATCCCAGATTGCATATCCATTTCCAGCTTCTTCTTGTGGGTCTTACTTAGCATTAGCAACAACATTGTCCTTGCAGATATTTTTTTCTCTTTGACATATACGACAGGTAACAATGAAAGGAATTGCTGTAATTAACTAATTATTAGTGTTCCGCGACGATAAACGAAGAAAGTGCCAAAATATAATGAGCTTTTTCTCCTTTACAAGAAGCTGAGCCTTCTCTCGCATTGTAGCAGAAAGTTTGGGGCTTTGGGAGATCTGGGCTTTCGCCAGAGAAGATGGGAATTACAGAGGAGAGGGTCGTTGCTGTGATCATGGTTGGAGGACCCACTAAAGGTGTGAATTTATTTGAGATTGTAGAGCAGTAAGCAGTTCATAGTTTATTGTTTTCGGGTTATGAATCTTGAATCAATGAATGCCTCTTCTCCCTCCCTTTCTTTTCCTCTCCCTGGCAAAAAATCCCATGTCTTTCTGGGTACTTTGAATTTCTCTTTACCACTTGCTGTTAATGGGAAATGCGGTAGCTGGATCGAAACTTTACGTTGCCTAACTTTGTATTGTTATATTGTTTGTTAGTTTCTTGAGATTAGATACATGGTTTCCTCATGTGAAATTTGGTTAGTGGCTTGACATCCCTGGTTTTTGGTGGGGGTAATTGGATATACAGGCACCAGATTCCGGCCATTGTCATTGAACATACCCAAGCCACTTTTTCCTTTAGCAGGACAACCCATGGTTCATCATCCAATTTCTGCTTGTAAAAGGGTATGTTGCTGAGAACAGAAGGGAATCCTCATTTGTAATAATCTATGTGCAGTCTGTCAAATGGTTTGCTGTTATTGTTGTCACAGATTCCAAATTTGGCTCAAGTTTACCTTATTGGTTTCTATGAGGAACGTGACTTTGCGTTATACACATCTTCCATATCAAGCGAGCTTAAAGTCCCTGTTAGGTAATCTCATCAGTCATCAACTGTTATTTTTCTAATTTTTCAGAACCTTTTTTTACTTTAGTTTGGCTGTATTTTGATTGAGATCGCACTAACAACTTATACCATTGACTTGGATAATAGATACTTGAAGGAAGACAAACCTCATGGTTCAGCTGGCGGTCTTTATAATTTCAGAGATTTGATTATGGAGGACAGCCCGGTTATTATCTGTACCTGATGTTTTATGTGTTCATGGTTAGATACTATATTGATGGTGCTGCTCGCATTTTGTTCCGCAGTCACACATTTTCTTGCTGAACTGTGATGTTTGTTCCAGTTTTCCGTTGCCAGAAATGCTAGGTAATTCCTTTTCTTTAGAGACTAAAGCATAGACACTTTAAATATAGGTGGCAAAAAAAACACTTTGAAAACAGAAAAATAGTCCACGTCCAACACATTCCATACACTCATATTAGATATGACATAATGTGGACGCTTCAAAACGTTCTGTTACTGCATCCGTTTCACTGTCACGTCCTACATCAATGTCAGCATTATTGGTTCCTTGGACATTTCAGAGTCATGCTCCTTAGGTCATAGACCATATATATTCTCTGTTGTTCTCTTTAAAAGTGACATGCTTGAATGTATTGCAGAAAAATTAACTTTGGCCTCGTTTTATCTTGTTCACAGATGCTCATAAAAGATATGGTGGGATGGGAACAATCCTAGTTGTGAAGGTTGGTCAATAATTGCACAAACAGATTTATATTTTCTGAGCATATTTAGTAACCATTGTATGATCCCCCTCAAGGTTTCAGCTGAGACTGCCAATGAGTTTGGAGAATTGGTAGCTGATCCGATCACCAATGAGCTTTTGCATTATACAGAGAAACCTGAAACATTTGTAAGTTCATTTATGCTTACAGATCCTTTAACTGCTGACTTGGTGTTTGAATCTTTCCTTCCCATGCTGTTGTGCCCTAGCTTACTCTTATAGCTTACCTGAATGTAGGTTAGTGACCGAATAAATTGTGGTGTGTATATATTCACACCAGATGTCTTTACTGCTATCCAGGGTATTTCTACTCAGCGGAAAGACAGAGGTAAGGGGGATAACCTAGGGGACGATTTGCCACGTTCTTTTTTAGTCGTTGTTCTTAGATTTGAATTTCAGGAGGATTTGATACTAGAATTTATGATGTTGAAAATATTTGGGACTTGACTTGGTGAAGTAATGACAAAGTCTTTTTTTTTTTTTTAACTTCTTTGATTCACGACTTAGTCTATTGATAATTACTGGAAGAGGTCCTAGTGTTTTTTTTTTTTTTTAACTCTGTTTATCCGCCACTTTATTTGCAGCTAATCTGAGACGTGTCTCCAGCTTTGAAGCTTTGCAGCCAGACACAAGGTAAGTACTTACACTGTGTGTTAAAAAAAAAAAAATCATCCTTCTTTTGAGTTGGTAAGAAGATTTTGAGGCTCCAAAAACTCATTTTCAGTACAGCATCTCATTAATAGTACTATAATTCTATAATTCATCTTGTATCTGATTCACAAAAGCGTTTTTCCAGGAATCTTCCATCAGATTTCGTAAGATTGGATCAAGACATCCTCTCACCACTTGCAGGGAAGAAACAGTTGTATGTGTATGAAACCAAGGACTTCTGGGAACAAATTAAAACTCCTGGGTAAGCCTACCAGTAGAGGTTGCGTTGCCTAGTTAATATTTTGTTTTTCACGAGGAATTCTTATATCCCATGCTTGCAGAATGTCCTTAAAATGTTCTTCCTTATATCTTGCCCAATTCCGTCACACATCCCCCCACCTATTGGCCAACGGAGATGGTATAAATAGTGCCAGCATTATTGGTGATGTTTATATTCACCCCTCTGCAAAAGTACATCCATCTGCAAAGGTAAATTTTCGCCTCCCATTATCTGATTGTTAACTAGAAGGAATTTGACTTTCACGGTCATGTCATTTCCACCATGCTTTTAGCCATGATTGTCCAAATTTTTCATGGTGTTATTAACAAGTGTATATCAATGGCTGCCTGATGTGTGGCATGAGCATCCATTGGTAAGGAATCTTTTGGTTGATGCACATCATTCATATTTTGCAACTTTTTTAGTTTGAATCAGATACCATTTTGGCCGCCAACAACTACCACCCCCCCCCCCAAAAAAAAAAAAAGATTGGTTTTTGCTGTTGCTGGCATTCAAAAATAGAATAACGACGAAAGTTACTATTTAAGTGTTAATTCTTTTCCAATCAAACTGTACCCACAAAAGCTCTTCCTTGTAGGACTTTACTTGTATTTGTATCCCACATTATGCTTGAAAAAGGTTATTTATGGTTATGGACAACCATTTTTGTGGCTGCAGATAACTAGAAATGAACTCTTGTTTATCTCCAAGCTGACTAAGTAACTATACTTGAACAGATTGGCCCGAATGTATCAATATCTGCAAATGCTCGTATAGGAGCTGGTGCAAGGCTTATTAGTTGTATTATCCTCGATGGTGTTGAAATTAAGGCAAGTGTACACCTTAATTGGTTTGAAATGCACACATAATTCTTTCTATTCCTGTGATTATATGTTTTTTCTGACAGGAAAATGCGGTTGTTATTCATGCAATTGTTGGGTGGAAATCCTCCATTGGAAAATGGGCTCGTGTCCAGGCAAGTTCAAAAATTGTAACTATCAAGTTAAATGCTCTGTTAATCAAAGACTTGCATTTTTTCCTCCCCGTTGCTGTTAATATTTTGTTAACAATGTACCAAAAGGTTTGGTTGTTGATAGAGCACAATGCGTCATGCAATCTATATTGTTGACTCCACCTAATTAGATAAAGTTTTTTGTTGTTGTCATCGTCGTCAATACTTCTCAAGGCTGCAGGTTGCATAGACACAGTTAGGCTTGGCCTTGATGGAGGAAAAAGTGAGTAAAATTGGGAGGAGGGGAAAATTAGCAGAGAAAATTTCCAGAAATAATAAAGGTTTTTTTACCATTTTTGGAAGTTTTCCCTTTTAGTTTTTCCTCCTCCCTGTTTTTCTCTCCATCCAAACCAAGCCTTAGAGTGATGCATTCTGGAAAATGGAAATTCATCTGTATGACAAGCTTTCGTCAAACAGACACCTTTTTGGATTACATAGTTCATTCATTATCATGAGATACAGTTAAGTGTAGTCCGACTTCCAAGTACACAAAAACATGATTCAACATCACTTCTAGATAATATTTGGTAAATTTTATCTTATTTCTTAAAGAAAACTTGGAGCCCTCAGCACTACCGTTATTAAAAACAGTTTTGGCTTGTCAGCACTTCAAAAAGGCAAAAAAAAGGGGGGGGGGGCTTGTCAGCGAAACAAGCTTTTCTATTTAGATTAGATGAATTAATCAATCCAAGCTGTTCTTCAAATCAAAATTTAACTGACACTCATTGCCATGCATTAAGAATTTGGTTTTCATCTCCTGTGTGGACAGTCTTAGCTTTATATACATGCTTGTGGATCTTCACCTACAGTGTATTTCTCCACGTAGGCATTGCCAATATACCATAATGTTGTCCACTTTTCATGTTTAAAAGGTTTTTATGTGAGAAAAATAGTGACACAGTTGGGTCCCATTTGACACCATTGCCCACGTCATTCTCCCTACCCCAATGCAGTGCATGAGAATTTGGACTGTTGCGGTTTCGGCTTTTGCCCCTTTCCTTTTCTTTTCTGTATGTTACTTTATTTTCAACGCTTCGCAATTCTTTTGACAAATTAAATCATCTAAAATTCAGGCTAGCGGAGATTACAATGCAAAACTTGGGGTCACAATACTTGGTAACATTCTTGAGCCTTTGGGTATTCTTTCTCTTTGGGATATAAAGGATCAAAATTAAAGCAATTTTTTGATGACCAATGGGATCGTTGGACCAAAACTAAAGCATTTATTTATTCTACTTTGTGGCAATCTTGTTTGCATGCTGAATCCAGGTGAATCTGTTACTGTAGAAGACGAGGTTGTGGTTGTTAATAGCATCGTCCTTCCTCACAAGACGCTAAATGTTGGGGTTCAAGATGAGATACTCTTATAGGTCCTCCTACAAGAGTGTTGCGTTTGTAAATTGACCTCCATTGATCAAGCTATTGACCGTGATATTAGAATCCAACCTAGGTTGGCCGGTTAGATCAGTGAACCAGTCCCTTATTGGTTTGGTCAAGAGTTTTGGATGGGTCAATTAGGTTTGAATTTATATTTCTTTCTTTCCTTGCTGAGCCTTAAATGACCTCATTTTAAGTTTTTTTTGAAAAAATAAAATAACAGTCTATCTAATTTGTGCTTTGGTAACTTTTTGTTGAATTATGTGTGGTCTATACATGAATGTTCCATTAACTTGTGGATTAATGTATTTTGATTTTAATATTATTTTTCTGGGGTTTATATGAATATTTTTATATATTTTAATTAAATTATGTTATTTTAATCACGACTGTATTAATTTTGGTTCAATCAGAGTTGGTCAACTAATCCTTAAATTACTATCAATAATCAATATAGTTTTCAATATTTTATGATTGATTGATAAGCAATTGAACATAGACACTACTTCAAGTGTTCTACTGTTAAAAAAATGTAGCATCTCTGCCGTTTAAAATTTTAAAACGAAATATTCTTGAGAATTGTCTTTTCAAAGAAAATTAATCATTTATTAATACTGTAGTCCTTTAAGCCTTTTTTATTTGTATTCATGTCTTGCACTAAATGCTAAATATATTCTTGAAACTTACCCTTGATATCAAACTAATCTTAAGATTGTCAAAGATTCATGTTAAAACTAGCTTACATTTAAAGAATAACTTATTACTATGTACCAAGAAAAGGTAATAATAATAATGATCCTCCTCTAGAGAGAAGTATTCAGCTAATTAATCTCCATCACCGTGAAAGGAGCAAAAGGTTACCCGTTAGTGACTTCTGGACACTATCATGATAATAAATTATGACGCGTGACTTTATCGTCTCATTCAAATTGTAATGCATTCTAATTTCTAGCTACGGATAAATAAGTAACTACATATTTTTAAGTTATGTTGATTAGGTGTTTAGATGGCATTTGCTGTCTGTAAATTTGTATTGAAAGGTTAAAGCCACAATCATCTCTAGTTTTGAAAGGCCAACCAACTTACAATGCAGTGTAATTCTTTACCAAACATAATCTGCATGCTGTCAGCCAACATTTTCGGGGGTAAGGATGAGGAAGAAATCTGTTAACAATAAATAATCTCTCTCTCAAGATACAAAGAGTAATAGATAAATATCTCCCAACCAAATTGTTACATGTACAAGAACTAAAATTCAAACTATCAACCACTTGCTTAAATAATATAATATTCACATTCATGCCAACTTTAATTAACTTGTCCAACATTTTATCGATGAAATAACATTGCAAAAATTCTCCAATTTGTCATTGTTTTTATTCCAAGGGAAAAAACTTTAGTTCTTTAAATTTGCTAAAAGTTCTTTGGTCGTAAATCCATCTCCATTTAGACAGTAGTACGGGTAGTGTTTAGTTCATAATTGCTTCTCAACGATTCAAATTAGAGGAAAATGCTTTGGCTCAAACTACCTAAATCACTAATCAATTAACATAAAACATGCCACTACATAGAATAAGATCACCCAAAGAAAAAGAAAAAATTCACAAGAACTGGCTTTAGCGCTTTACTGATCTTAAACGAACTTCAATTTCGTAAAAAGATCTTGTTTAAAAATTCGTCGATGGCAACTCTATGCTGGCGCACGGAGAGCATGCATTTCCAACATTATCATTCTCCTGACAAAGCTGTACCGCATTATTTGACTACACCGAACAGAAATTACAAAATGTGGATTGGCCTCTTCCCAGCGACTTCAGAGTACCATGATTTCCACGCTTCCATGTAATGGCTGAAGAGTTCTCTCAAAGCTGCACGATAAGGATACCAGACACAATTCAGTTGAATATTCAGAAATATGTCAGTATCAAGTCCATTTGATGTCAAATGACAACACTCAACTGAAAAATCAAGCTTCATTATCCAGGAGTTGTCAACTGGCCATCGAATAAGAACCACCACCAAGCAACCACGTGATGTTTAAACTATCCCAAGTTTTCCAAATGAAACAAGAACTCACGTAGCCATTGGACAGATGGATGACTAAGCAATTTCCCACCAAATTTCAGATTCGACAGAAAAATAAAATAATACCTTGGTTTTGATACTGGGGACGATAGGCAGTTGCAAGACTATCCCAATCATGGACCCGCTTCGCATTATTATTATCAGAGGCGCTCACTTTGGGGACGTAGACAGGAGCGAAAGGTCCAAACTGATAGCTTCTTGAACTCTGCTTTGAGTCCTGATTTTGATGGCTTTTATCTGCCTGACCGAGCCAGTTATCACCATCCATTTTATTTGATATCTTAGCATTCTGGCATAGGTCCCCATTAGAGAATAAATCCACTTTATTCCTCTTAAAACTGATGTTTGTGATATCATTACCAAACATCCTTTTCCTGGATTCATCGGGATTTGAATTATGAATAGACTCATTCTCTGTTTTCCCCTCCAAGCCCAGCCATCTAAAAGCAGGTTTTCTAGTGTCTGATGTATGAGTCTGCCACCATTATACATTCGTCAAAAACTTACAAATAGAAATAATTGCACAACTTTAATTTCAGCAGCAGTTAACGCAAAAAAGCATATACCTTGCCACTGCCCATTTAGTTCTATAACAAAACAAAATTAGAAAGAAAGAATGGAATATCACCTTCTCAATAAGGTTCATGGAGGACAGCACATTTGCAATATCATATAGACGTCTTACTTTCGCTGAAAGGTCAAAAGGTCAAAGGTATAAGTGAAAATGTTCAGCGTTTTTTTTTTTTTTATTACAATGGATTACGAATAACTGCAGTGAAGTATTACTCCTCATTATTGACGTATTATGGGCATCCCCGAGCAACAATCTGGCAGCTTCATCGAGGGAAATCAACTCCATCTGTAGAGTGATTGTTGGAAAATTTCAACGCAACATAATCTAATTAACTAATAAAAATAGTGGGCCACTTAATTTTTAAGAAATTGACGGCAACCCTTACATTGTGGCAGAGAAAGAGCTTGACAAAATTCTGAGTGAGAAGTGCAAGAGATTTTTCCCTTCGATTATCTGCAAAGCATAATTGAAGCATTGTCAATCTTCAGAAATCGTACAGTGCCATTTGCAAGATGTAAAAAAAAAAAAAATCAAATGTTTCACGCTTCAAAGCTACAAAACACGATGGCCAAAAAGAACTACACAAATATTCATCAAAGCTGTTTTGTAGACAAGACGCAAGAGCACCTATTACTTCCCCCAAATGCAACAGCAGAGCTCACCGCTTCCTAGTTCCTACAGAGTAATAAATGGCAATTCGGCCAAAATATGAACAAATTGATAGAGAGCCACCTTCCTGCCTCAAATTCATGGTATTATATTACTATTCTACACAAAAGAAATGCACTGTAACACCTTGAGTCTTGACCATATTTGAATTGTAACCAATCAATTTCAACTGAATTTTAATCAGCGGAAAAGAATTAATACCATTCTTCATAGATTTGAGGAGAGTAGAATTGGGACAAGGCTTGTCATTCTGACTTCCAGTACTGGGATTGGACAACGTTTCTTCGTCATCCTCATCATCAGATACCTGATCACGATTTATTGAAGTCAAACAACTCATATCAGACTAGTGTGAACCTTCCAACCAAATTCTTACCTTCAGAGCGAAAAAATAAATGAAGCAATTTCCGAAATTCCAACTCTACTTACTTTTGCATTATCTTGACTGCCATCAAAAGCATCGCAATTCTCCCTCATACCTTCTTCCTATGTCACAATTAGAAATTGAAAATCATTACCAATCCTTGAACCATCAATTTTATGCAATGCAAAGGCCTCAACACATGACAAGTTCTAGGAAAATCCAATCCTAAACAGAATTGCAAGTTGCAAGTTTAAAACCAAACTTACTTTGAGCTCCTGTAAGGCCCCCGGAATTGCCCCAAATCCTTTCCAAGTATATTGATTCTTAGCTTTTCTTGCAAGAACCTATGAATCAACAATCAGTGCAGGACACATGAATGAGAAGGCAGAAACTGAGAGAAAAAGGGAAGGGGCATTTAAAAGAATTCAGACATCTCACCCCGACACTCTCCAGTACATTAACTATATCATAGATCCGCCGCCTCTCGACCCCTGAAATTTCACCAAAATTAAAAGGCAACAATTAGATCTATCCCAAAGGCAACGCAATTTAAGATAATACACTATTTTCCTTTTAAAAAAATACCATTACCCAAATTCTTACTTTTAGTCGTTTAAATAAAATAGTACTTCAAATTCGTAACATCACATTTTGGTTGGTTCCTCAAAGTTTAAAAGAAAAGATCAATATGCAAGGACTTGCAAATTTCTAGAAAAAAAAAATAAATTTAACTACTGAATTTAAACATACATGTGTGTGTGTGTGTTTTGAAGAGTATCAAAGGGCATGTTGTTCAAAACCAAAATTGACAGTTTACGAAGCTCCTGGAGCATAATCAGGTGCATAAATACCTAATCTCGCAGCCGCATCGTCAAGGCCGATCAAGTGAACGCCATCTCGATTATACAAGCTCAAGAAACTGCACGGTGTACACCAAATTTAAAATAAACGATGCCGAGGGGGAAGATAGTCGACGATGCAAAATCAAAGCAGAAGGAAAGGGAAAGTACTTGGTGCACAAGAGGCCAAGAGACTTTTGCTTGCGATTATAAGTGTAGTGTCTGGAAGGATCTCGAAGCGCGGAAGAAGAGGCCATGGATTAGATCTGATGGAGCGATCCGTGAGTTAGAATTGGAGGGAAGAGAGATGGTGGGGAAGGGGGGAGAGAGAGGACCGTTATGAAATAGGGAGGAAAAGTTTGGGGTCTATGGGAGAAAAATGGCGGGGTCGGAATTTTGAAATTTGCGATTAGCGAGGGCTTGGGTCTGATATATATACGTGGCTTTGGGTCTGGTAGTGGGGAGGCATCGTCATTCGTTTGTTTTAATGCCAGAATTTTTGAATAAGCGGGAATTTGAATTCTTGACGCGCCTCCCACCTTTTTCTAATTACGCTTTTCACCCTCCTTCATTCGTTATTCCGGTAGCTGACTTTGCTTCCAAATTCCCAATCATTGGCATTAACTCATATTTTTAGGATTTGAAATTTTGAATTCTACTAGTGTTTCAAATCCGCTCACTAAGGTTGATAAATGCCAACGACAACAATGGTATTGTTGTGTATGATACACTCATTAGAGATGATAGAGAAACTTAAATAAAAAGATTCACAAAATATATTGATTAAATAAATCGATTTACAAAATATATTGACTATCACCCTAATATATTATTGAGTTTGTAAGCGTTTTTTAATGTCTAAATAATTATTAGAATAACAAATTCACCAAAATTAATGTTTATTTTGGCTCTTTAAAAGCTTTCACACTCACTTAACATACGTTTTTTGAGAACCATTCTCTTAATTTTTTTTTTTAAGAACAATCAAACTTGTATTAAAATAAAATGATTAACACATAAGAACCTAGGATATCTGAAGTTCCCATAAAGGAAATACAATAGACAAATCAAGACACACAAACATTAGGACATAACATTAAAGATACAATCAATATCATCACATAGAAGTTGCCAATAAAACCTGAATAAGCTTGCCTTATAAGGATTCTCTACAGTCACCTACAACCTTAAGCAGCGAGAAGATGTGTCATCAAGGACATTAATGCTTCCATAGGTATTGAGAAGGGAGCAACATTGAACTGTATCCTCAGAGGGTTGTAACGTTGCTTGGAAGAGCAACATCTTCCACCAAATAAACAGCAATGCTTCCCTTAACTATGGAATGGTAGTTTGATGAGCATAATATAAAACCCAAAGCCATAATAAACAAGGTAAGAGGCATGTGAAAAGAAAGTTCCATAAATGCTTGAAGTCTATTCTAGCCACAAGAACCCATAGATACAGCTCTACTTTTTGGACCTTTAAGTAAGAAAACTTATAGGCGCAATATGTAAGATGGTGGAGCTTTTTGGTTGAAGCTTTGCAAGAACCCAAAACTAAAAAATTATTCGCTAATGCCTCCTCCAAAAAGCACTAAGTTCTAACAATGATTAGAGTGAAAATATTGCACTTCAAGTCCACGATCCTTTAAGGATTAAGAGATTTAGATGACTTGCAAACATCCTCCATCATACTTTGACTACTTCCTGTGTTGATAGAAAAATCATAGACCTATATCTTAGTCCACTTAATCCTTCTAAAAATAGCATTACATGAGGGTGGCCGCTTCCTCTTCTTACAAGAAAGATTCGTGGATGGAATTTGATTCTTGACATCATTGTTCACTTCTTGAATATCACATTAGATGTCCACCTCTTGTTTAAGCATGTTATATTGAAAATTATAGTCCGACTTATGAGATTGACAAGAATTATATTCAAAAGACACCCCATATATCTTCTTTCATAAGCAATGGTAACCATACAAAGAGTTATATTGAATGCCCACTGAACATTCAGATCTATGAAAACCTTGAGAGAGCGGTTGTGGGGTAAGGTAAGATCCAACTTTACAATGCTTTGTAGAATGCAAACCTTGGTAAACATGAGCAACATGTCCTATACAAAGACATCTATAACAAATATGGTCGATACGTTCCAAAACAATCTTGATGTCTCTATATTCACTATTAGGCAATTTAATTCTACTTGAAAAGAGCACTGGACAATATTTTGAGAAAAGAACCCGCAATCTTAAACCACTAGCCAAATGTCTACTGTTATGGTCATATTGTAAAAAGAAACCTAAATTTTACCTAATGAAACAACAGCCTTGTAACAGTAATATTCTGTAGGAATACCATGAATTTGCATCCATATTAGAAGATTAAAGACAAAAATCTTCAATAGAGACACATCAGGCTCCTAAGGAAATAGATAAAAGATGAACCTTGAAGTAACCATGGACCATTAAGTAGAACATACCTCAAATCTTCCTCTTTCTGAAAAAATAAGACAAAGTATTGTTGGAATTGTTGGACCAGCGACAATTGGAACTTTGAAGTAAAAATTGGAACTTTGAAGCATGTAGCCTTCTGGAATCAACTACCTTTATAAAACAATAATGATTTTGGCAAAACGAATTATGAATAGAATTTTTATGAGATTTGAATAACCACAACTCCAGTACAAAAGCTCTTCTCTGATGATGCATAGTCAAGAAAGATAAATCAAATCCATAATAGAACCAAGACCAAAGAAACCAAACTGAAATCTATAATGTCCACTTAAACATTATCAAAACAACACTCCTACACATCATTGTAACAACTAGGATTAGACAAAATCCTAATTAGAAATTACCACAACCCAAGGGTTTAAAAGATAATTAGTTTAAAACAATAGGATCCTAAAAAAATTCTTTTTAAATATTATTATTTGAGTTCTAACCATAGTTAAAAATCAATTAAAAACAAATACAAAAGTATAAAAATCAAATCACTTCAAAACAAGTTGAAACAAGCCATTTTGCGATTATCTAGCTTGTCTGTCGCTGTGCCTGCCGTAGTGGATGGCAAAAAGGGACAAGTTCCTCAAAAGGCACTTGCATCGTGGCACAACTACCATGCACCACAATGCGCACCTACTGTCATGACAGCAGATTGTTGTCATGATAGCCCTTCAAACTTTCAGAGCGCCCCATTTTGCCATCCGACGTTTGATTTGGGTAGTTCGAGTATCCACATGAAGTTCTTCAAGCTCTCTAACTAATGGCATCAGTCACACACTCAAACAATCATTCATTTTTAAAGATGCACACCTGAACCCAAAAGGGTTCGTTTTCAACTCAAAACATACACAAAAGTGTCCAACTCACACTACTAAATGTCATTAGCCCTAGAGACACTTTGACCACCTCAAATGGACCACACACAATATGATAATTTATTCATATCACATAAGTAAATAATCACACTCAAAATGACTACCAAACCCTCATTTGACAATAATATCAATGGGTGGATTAAATTTTAACACACATGTTAATTAGTCATTTTGGCACACAAATCACTCCAAATTCTTTGTTTGTAATTGTAACTTGGCTAAGCACACACATTTAATCCGCAACATTATTCTTGGACCAAGATACACACACTTATCATAAATTCATACAAGTGATATCCTAAAATAATGTCATGTTCCTAAGTTAACATTATATAATGGCAATATTCATTACAAACCTACAACTCTCTTCACTCTTCAATTGCCTCTTCCTTCTTTTTGCCCCTACCAGAGCCCTCACCTGTAAAATATAACCACAGGGTGAGATAAACATCTCAGTAACTAATATAGTTCATCAAATGCTTATTACCACAAATAACCATAATAAAGTATCAAAACAAAGGTAATTATTGAGTATATCAGATTTATGAGACAAGTGCATATTTCCACAATAATTCCACACAATTTCACACTAGCATGATCATCTAATCACCGAACCTCTAATGCTCTCCAACATGAAACATAGGCTCTCCTGGATCAACCACGTGTTGACCTGAGCACACTTTCGGTGGTAGAAACACCCGACCAAAGATAATCTAACCCATCTACGAATTATAATGTTTTCCTCTTTACACACTTGTGGTTAAGTTATCGTTGACTCCTAATCTTACCCTAACAGGTACTAGGGAGTTGCAAAACTGTTCAAATATCTCATGGTAACAGTCCCATATAATGCTGCACCGAATGTCCCATGATACCAGCTCGATCATATAGATTTTTCACTCATATATCTCCACATACACATATCCTCACATATCTCAAGTGAACTCCTACCTCCTATGAGCATGCATTTTCACACTTATCACTACTTATCCAAATTTCCACCATATTTACTTTCATATCATATATACACACACACACACATATCCATTTCACAAACTAATATTCATGTTAAAAATTATTTTTCAATATCAAATCATGCACAAAATTCTTAAACAACAAGTTCATCAATTTGTATTTACTTCTACATAGTTATAATAGTTAATAAACATAATAAATTTTATGGTTACCTTAACTTTTTATCACACAAAAGGATTACCGTGGCTCAACGTTAGCTTCACGCATTCTATATGCACGATATAACTTAAGCAATGCTTAATTTATACAATCAAGTGATAATCATCAATTATTATTCTGAATAAATCCCAAATTCACTAGGTTTTAAGTGTCTATTACACCCAAATTCTAACATCACCAACCATTCTCAAATACTCTAACCATTATTAAACATCCCGACATACCAAAATTACTAACCAATTCCCAACATTATCTCAAAACCTCTAAATTATGCTTAGGGTTCGTCTAAACCCTTAATAAAAGTTTTTAATCATCCTAAAACTCATAAATTTAGGATTAAAAGCTTAATTTAACTACTCAAGACCTTAAATAATCTAATAGGTTCGGTCTAAACCTAAGAGAACTAAAATCAAAGCCCTCATTACTCTAAATGTCTAGATTTTCACATAATGAGGGAGAAAAGGGAATGTAAAAGTTACCCAATAGTGATTCAAACTCCAAATGCTTTCAAAGTAGCCTAGGGATCGTGCCCTAATAGACCAGGAGCTCCTCTCTATCGCTCTTTTATTTTTCCTTCTTTCTCTTTTCTATTTTCAGTCTATTTTCATGAACCGATAAGTGTTAATTTTACACGTGCGTCGTGGTGCATTGACACGCCCGGCATGGTGCATAGCATAGAAAGTCTCACAAAATTTTAAACTTCCTTCTGTGCCATAGCCCACTCAAACATCGACCTAACTCTCTTTTAAGGCTGTCCAATGATCCAAAAGCTATATTAGTTTTTTATAAACCTCATTAATCAGTAATTTATCTAAATTGACCAAATTATCCTTGAAAATATTAATAATTACAAATTCAGAAACTTAAGATGTTATAAAATCTATGGCATGATGCATAGAGAAAAGCCAAACATCAGACTCCTCTAGAGGTATTAAGAACTCGCCAATTAAAGCTTTCATTTCCCTAGAGCAAAAAGGGAATCAAAGCCCTATTGATTCTTAACAATTAATGGAAATAATGGTGACTAAGATCAGTTCACTATGTTGATGACACTGGAAATACAAAGCATACATAATAACTAAGGGTAGAGATTTAGGATCAGAGAAGAGAGAGACAAATGCTCTCTAAGAAACTACCCAGAGCAATCTTAATTGAATGTTGGTGAGGGTGTTACCACAGATAGAGACAAAAAAAGAAGATGATATCGAGATGATGGCGGTGGTGAGAAGTGATAGCCACTAAGGTTTAAGAGATATATTGCTCTCCTTTCAATCGAGCCCAAGCTTCCCCTTTATTTTGAATTGTTAATTGCACTATTAGAAGTGTCCTCTTGATAGGGTTATCAAAAAAATAAGGAAATTCATTATGAGGGATTGGGCGATCACTTTTGATAATGTGTCTAGAGGAACCAGTTAAATGCAACGATTGGTTAGCGCATCAAGCCTTTAATGATATTTTAGCTATTAAGACTTTTCATATTCCATCCTTAGGGTATATAAATATTTTGTAATCTAACACAGGACTGTGTAAAAGTCTTTTAGTTCGGTTTAGTCTTGTCCAACCTGAGACAACTCAATTCAATCTAATCTGGATAAAAACTAACCTTTTAGGACTAAAAAGACCAAACTTTTTCTTCGAGTTGGACTAGAGAACAGATCGAGAATCTGAACCATTTAATTTGATCTGGTCCTATAAATTTATTAATATAATTATAATTAATTTATTAATTATTATTATTATAATAAGTTAATTTATAATAATAATTAGCATTTTTTGTGTTTTATACTTGTGAAGTCATTAACATTAAACAAAATTCCAACATTGACCAACCTAAATCTTCTCCTTTTATTGTTGAAATTTATTGTTAATTTAGTGTAATGAACTTTAGATATGTTAAAGGTTGTTTAATTTGAATCATTTGTATTGTAATTGAAATACTTTTTATTATTGTTGGATATTATTGTGGATTTATTATTGTATTGGTTTGATAAATTTTATATAGTATAAGTAATTTTATTATATTAATTGAGTTTATTATATTGAAATAAATTGTTGCCTCTCATAGAATAAAAATAAAAAAAATAAAGTGAGATATTAAACAAGACTGGGACCAATCTCCTAATTTTACTAGACCAATCCGGTCTTGTTCTGCTTTAGGTGATACCAGGATCAAACCAAACTAGACTAAGAGTTGCCTAACTCAGTCTTTTTCATAAAAATGACCAAAGTTCATGTTAGGCTGAAATCCTATTAGGTCAGTCCTTTATGCAGCCCTACTCTCACATAACATGATTTGTATTCTCTTTGCATAATTTATATGTGATCTTGTACTAAAAAAAAAAATTGCACAATTTATTTGTAAGCTTGCACAATATTGTACTCACAGTATTTTTTTTTTTTTACCTAAAAAAAGTCACTCCCTTGCAATAAGTGTCTACGACATAATTATAGAATTTTATCAACACTTAAAAATTCATGCTTGACTTAAAATAAATGAATAATGAATCAAATGGCCATTTTATAATTGTTGAAATAAGGTATGAAACACAGCAAAAAGATAGAGTTGTGATTTAATGTTATCGCTTTTATCTTCTGCTAACATTTTCAGCAACTATTCAACTGAATCCATGATCTTTATAGAATTATATGAGACACTCACTAAGTTAGAGGATTTAAAAACTTACAAAAATTCAAATCCATACATTTGTTTTCAAATGTTTTGATCAAAATTTTATAAATATATAAATTTTTATAATTCCGTGAAAAATATAGTTTTGGTTAGAAAATCATACGAATCATATAAAAATAAAAATAATTCCTTGCTGCGCTCATGTGAGGAATGGTTTATTTTCTGTTAAACATGCTTATCACTTGGCCAACTGCTTGCACGCGGTAAGAAATACCGTGCCAATGCTTCTAACGATTTATTGAAAATATGACAAGCCTGCATTAATTAGATTTGAATTTGGTGACTTCAAACTGCTCGCTTGATGAATCTTAATTATAATCATTAAATTTTATTAATATTTGAAAATTATTAAAATATTTTTTTACCAAAAATTTCAAACAATCCTTTTATAATCATTCAATTAAATTAAATAGTTGGTATCTTGTCATGGGGTAGAGCTGATAATTTGAATGGGCCGGCTATGATAGGGTCAGGTTAAATTTGGTTGGGCCAAAATAAACATGAACTGAAGAAAAACCCAAATAATCAAGCCCAATTCAAACCTCTTTAGACCTTGGGGCCAGCACAAATTCATGGATTATCATTTTTTTTCATTGTAAAATTAATTTTAATTTAACTTTTTACTTAAAATTAAATTTTCTATTTTATAAAAAAATATAATATATTTTTTGGAATAACATAGAACATTCAAACTTTTTTTAAAAAAATATATGTCAGTTTTAAAATTTAAAATCAATATTAAAATACATTATTAATATTATTTTGAAATATTTTATAGATTAAAAATAATAAAAAATGACAATATAAATTTTTTTATTTAAAAAAATATCTATAATAATATAGTCAAATATATAATATCTTAGCATAAAATAACTTATAACTTAAAAAATTAATTAATATTTTATAGATTTTTTTAAGAAAATTTTTATTCAAGTATTTAGATCAAGTCCAAACCTCAATAGGCCCAACAACAAAAACTCTACATATTTTTTAAGCTCAGCTCTAAATTTTTTTCAGCTTTATTTGGATTAGCTAATCAAGGTTAACCCAAGAAAGTCATTAAATAAATGAACTTAAACTCATTAAATCGAGAGCTACGGTACCCCCCAATCCTCATGCTAACACCCGAGGATTCCGAAGGGAGGGGGGGGAGGGGCCTCCTTTTCTTTTTCTCCTTAATCCTAAGGCCCTTATTAGTGGCAAGCGGGAACACATGGGACAGGCTTGTTGAAGGTTTCCCTCGATACACTTGAGCAAGTTTGCCGGTCTCTCTTGGTGTTGAAGTTTTAGTTTTGGCAAATTGCGAAAAGATCCCAAGATGCTTGCGATCAGAATTCAGTACCCTCCCTGGAAAGAGCCTCTGGGTTGTAAATATTGCAGCGTCTATATTACAAGACATCGAAATAATCGCAGTATCAAGCATTTTCATAATAGCTGTTCCGCATAAATTAAGGCCTTCATTGACCTTGTATCTTTTCCCCTAAACATAAATGACATGTGATAAAAAGTGGAGAGCGAGCGTTATATTTAATTATAAGATGCGAATCCTATATACATCCACATTCTATTGTGCCATTTTATAAATGCATCATCTATATCTTGTGAAAGGAAAGGATCAAAAGGTGAAAAACCAATAGTCATGAATTTTTCTGTCGCCCTGATTAACGTAAAAAAGGAATATTTGTAACAATACCAAAGCTCCGTAATTATTCAGAACGTACCAGATCATGCAGGCAGCTATCCAGGTGCCAGTCTTGTTCATGATATTTCCTAGCAAGCATATACCGTCATATGGAGATTATCACTACCTCAATACAATGGGATTAAAATGAATGCTAGAACCGAAAAGGCTGTCAATTAACTGATGCAGATGTCTGTCAGCTGGTAAATTAATCTTGAGCAAAGACAGGTGATATTATGACGATAACAGAGATGAACAAGTAGATAAATCCTCCAAGTCTTATCATTGAAGCACCCACACATAATAATTCTTAGTGTATCTTCCTCAGCTGACATCATACGAGTCAGCCTAAGATCACACCCATTTCATCAATGCATCTAAAAACCTTATATTACACATAACAGGGTTTGCACTTAAATCATACTTAATAGTTATGTTTCAAATAGATTTAGTTGCGATTTGAGTCAGCAAAGTAGCTGTTGATGGAGGGCATAATCTCTGGGGCTCTGTTGCGCACATACTTCCTCAAGAAATGCTCTGCATACTTTTCTCCCTCAGCAAAGTTCTCCAGCACTCCTGCAGCCCTCCCCTCCTTGCTTACCCTATTTTTGGGAAAATGTTATTGCACAGACAGAAAAAGAGACCATCATTCATTACTCTCTCATCCACATATTAACCAGACAAGGACAAGATCAACACTTGTGATGATGGCATGATGCTGGGGAAAAATTCAAAGTAATTTTCTGATTGATGATTCAATTTTGTTGGTTATGCCTGTTTTACAAAAACGAAGTAGGTTGCATCAATGTTTAAAAGACAACCAACTACAAGTATTCCAAATCATTACTAAGTAATACCAACCGCAAAACATTTTTAAGATTGGCTTAAATTAGTCCACCTAAAAATCTTCTTTAAAGGTTGTTCAAATGCAGTTCTCGTCGCTTACATGTTTGTGTTTGACACATGTAAGACATTCATACCAGATAACAGCCCAAATTACAAATGAACACTTCAGATTTTATCATGACACCGTGTTTCCTGTCCTTACTGGCATCCACGCTTTGTAGTTGCTGATAACTAGGATTTAGCCTCTCTATTTTAACCCTTCGACAGTATCAGCTATCAGCAGAATTGAACGACTCTAGCACCTAGCTGTTTAAAGATATTTTCACTCAACATAACGGCTAACAGATCAAATGAGCCAGTCCCTCTCTCTTCACCAATTACGACAATCTCTTGGAAAAGTTACGAGAGTCAAATTCATAGGCAAGAAATTCAGCTGAAGCATAAATGTTTTGAACCCCAAGCATCTGCTGATTGAACGAGTCAATCCAATTCCAAACAAGGGATGCAACAAGAAAACCGAACAGCGTCCACGAAAATCAACTGAAGTAATATGAAAGGTTTGGCATCAAAGACGAGTATTCCACACAAACAAACAAAACAAAAAACACAAGAAACTAACATGGTCGAATTCCAACATGGAAAGTACCACTGCACTGGTTGAATCCTAAAACATCAGGTAGAGAGAGAGAGAGAGATACACCTGACTTCAGGATTGATGCAGATATTGCGAACCAATTGAAACCCACAAATCCCTACAGCAACTCCAACAGCCGCGAACAGGGGGTAAACCTAAATGCCCAAATATTGAGTGATCCACGCAATAAAAACTTCAGAAATACGTAAATCGAGAAGAAAGAAAGTAAAGGCAGAGGCACCTCGGGCCTGAGCCAGCGATTCGCCATCTATGCCAGCGCTGAAGGAAGATCAAGGGTCAAGCAAAGCTCGCTTCCAATGAAATGGGCAAAAGAAGAGGTTGAGACAATGAACAGAGCAGGGATTTGCAATATCCTGAAATGACGTCAAATTATTATTTAAAATATGAAAATTTCATTTTTTGGATAGAAATGGGAAATATTTTACCGCTGCGTTAAATTTGATGGACACAGCAACCGTAATTTTGAGTTTTTGTGTTTTGATCGAGTTTTATTGTAAGTTATCACCTTTTTTTTAATATTTTAAATGTTTATTTTTTTTATTTTTTTTATATTTTAAATATTTTTATAAGCAGTGTTATAGGATTTAAATTTAAAATATTAAAAAAATAAAAATATAAAGATTTAAAATATTAAAAAATTATATAAAGACACAAAATAAAACTAGGATCTTAAAATTATGCTTTTCTAACGTTATTATCGTTTTATCCATTGAGGGAAACAGCGTGTTCACGAGAAGTTTTGACGGAGGAAGTTGGGTTGTTGGGATAAATTATTGGTGAATATCGGATATATAGATGCATAATCTAGAATTAGATAACTTTAAAATATTAAAATTGATTTGAGATAATTACTTAGTGGGTAGTTGCAACTTGCAAGGCACCTTGCACTCTACTGGATGTGTAACCTAAATGGCCAATGAGGGAGTGCCACGTAGCCAAGAGCCCAGGGTTCTATATTTTAGATTTTCTTCCCGCCCCTTGATTGTTTGCCCTTTTTAAAAAGAATATGAACACGTTATGCTCTTTCGGGGAAACGAGAAAATATTACATGAAACCAAACAGAACAGCCAACCCTAATTATATAATGGATGGGGTATCAAAAATAATAAAGTCATTGGACGATACGTAGGCTAACTTAGAAAAAAAATCAACCATTCTATTATCATTTTTTTATAAAAAGTTAAAATTTATTGTCCAATATATACATAAAATCAATGATACTCTAAAAAAAGTAATGCCCATGGTTGTTTTTTTTTTTTTTTTGGTTGAGATAACCCATGCATAAACACAAAAAACATTCACAATCTTCTACCATTTTTGCCAACATGACTCAAGATCCTTAAACATACCAAACAATTCAACAATGACAAAGGAACATGTTCTAAGTTTTTATTAAAATCCTAAATCTAGGAATTGTTGCTATCCTGCACTACTCCACCACACAAACCGTGGCCTTAGTAGAAGTATACCCTTTAATTGCCTAAATAGCAACAGTAGAACTGGGCCGCTTCCTCCTCCCCCCCTCCCAAATAAAACACATTTTTTAATGTTCTGTAATACTCCCTCCAAATAATTTTTAAATCACATTTTAAAAGATTTTTTTAATCATTTAAGTCATTCTTTCTTAATTTTTGTAAATTTTTATGTACAATTCTAAAAATATTCTTCAAAAAATTCTAAAAAAAATATAATATTTTAATTTAAAAAAAAAATCTCACACATCAAATCACTCTTTTTTAAATATAGGAACAAAATGGGAAAGTGATTTATTTTAAGATAATTTTATTATTTTTACTGACTCATCTTAATTTGGATAAGTTTGTTAGAAGTAATTTATAAAAAAAATTGATAAAGTATTTTTTTGTGTCAAAAAATGTAATTTTTTTTGCATGGTACAAGTCTATGAGATTTTAAAATAAATTATTTTATTCATAATGCATCGCACTATAAAATACTTCCACCAGTTCTTATTATAAGTGTATATTTGAATTAAAAAATATATAATTGAGGTTAAGAATTAACTAAGGTTAAGAGAAAAGTCTATTTATAATGTGATTTTTATTTGAATAATTTTTTTAAGTCAAGTTGACAAACTATTTTTTTTATAATTTAATTTAAAAATTAATTGAGATGTATAATGATACAAATTGTTATGATATATATTTTTGTAACTAATTTAAAATTTTTAGAAAATATATTAAATTTAAAATTATAATTTTTAAAAAAGTACATTAAAAATATAAAATACATTGATAAGTCAAAAATCTTAATTTTACAAAAAGTATAATTAAATAATAAAATTAAAAATATTCAATTATGAAAAGCAAAAATAAATTCATAAATTACAAAATATTCAATCATTATATATATATATATATATAATAAGGTTAAAGGTTATAGAAAAATGTCACGTGTTTATTTTTACGTTTGCTATAATTCTATACTTTGAGATAGTTTTTTTTTTATACTTTGTGTTCTGGAGTCAGGTTTGGAATTAGATTTAGAATGTTTTATTGTTTTTTTATGTATATAAAATATATTATTTATATAAAAATTAATTTTTACCTATTTGAAATTTAAATATGATCATATTTAAATGCAAATTAATATCTATTTATTTAAAATTTTCATCCACCTTAAATATATGCTAAAAATCTATGCTTATATGATCGAGTATATGTATATATACATGTACATTGGAATTTAAACTCGGACTAATATCTATCTGTTTTAATATTTGGAAAAATGAATTTGTATGAGTATTTAGATCTATTCTCATAAGTTTTAAATTTCAAATTAGATGATTTCAATTTGCTTAAATAAAAAGAATTAATTTAAATTTCAAAAGTCAAATTAAACAAAAAGGATTAATTTAAATTCCAACTTTTAAGTTATATTAGTTTAAATTTCAAAGCGATTAGATCATATTGGTAATTTGAATTCAAATTATCCTCCTACATATATTTAGTTCCAATTATAAGTAAACATGCTTGGCTACAATTTCATTCTATGCTTTTGGCTTTGGTTAATTTTAGTATCACTCATGAAACTATTGTGCAAATGATGTATGAAAATTATATTTCAATGGCCGTTATTTATTTTCATCGCTAATGTTTACTTTGTTTTTTATTTGTTTACAACAAGTCTACCTTGACATTTCATTCTACTGCAGTTGTAAAATCTTCAAGTTAAACAAGTAAGATTACCCTTACCAATCCTCCTTAAATTCTAAACATCAAGGTAATTATCAAATTTGTTAAATTTCACAAATGAGATCCTAGGTTTTCAATATTTAAAATATCTCAAAAGATCTTTACATTCAAAAATAAGAGTTAAATCAATATACGAAAGCATTGGATCTTAAAAGAATCAACGCATTTGTGTAAAATCGAAAAATAGTGAATTAGTGTAGAAAAAAGAGGCATTCACCATGGTTTGTCACACATGCGTTGCAGCTTATAAGCCTCTGTGTCAAGAGCCACAACTCAGACACTATGTGCCATGGCGCATTGCACGATTTTAGAAGTAGGTTTTACTGTCATTTGATAGCAACTGGGAAAATTTTTGACACACCTCATTTCTCCATTTGATGTCTAATTAAGACGATCTATGTGTCTACATAAAGCTTTCTCATGGCTCTAGCTAATGATTTTATTTTTACACTCAAATTATTTCTCACTCAAAAGTTGGACACTCATTTTAAAATTCACTTTTTTTTCACAATTACACATGACTGGAGTGTCCAAAAACTCTAACCACAAGCTAAAAGTTGCAAAGACCACCTAGACCATACTCAATAAACTAAAATAGACCTATACAATATACCACATCACTAATAATGCTCACGAAACATATTTTTACTGCTCAACTCTTTAATCTCAAAAGCAAGAGAGGGAGCTCTAATCTTGAAAAAATTTAGATTTAGGATACTATAAGCTACTTCTTAGGTCAGTTTAGATTCCATTATTTAATCAATTACCTTACTCTTAGATTGTTATGATTAAATAACCTATGAAACATGGTTTTCTCTTTATCTTGTAATCATTAAAATCAAGATTTAACAGTTCTCCCATTTGTTGATAATCACAAAACTAAGAGGCACTTCATTAGTCCTAGAAAGACTTTAGTCTCTTCCTAAATTAGATAATTAAACAAGAATAAATAACATAGATTTATTGAAGAAATGCTCTTAAAAATATATACAAAATGAAGGGATAATTACACAATACAAAGGCAACATGTTAATAACAAAGGTGCAATCACATAAGCACACTGTTCAATCCTTGAAGATGGTTTTAAAGAAATCTATTAACTTATGAAATTTCTTGGTAGTAGGAGATAAAGGTCGAGGAAGTCATTCGTATGAAGGAGGCTGAGATGATTGAGGCTTGGTCTGAGATGGCTTGGACGATGGTTTGGGCTTAGTAATGTTAGGCTCAAAGGTATCCTTTATAACTTTTGGTCTAAACTTTCTAGGTCTAGAAGGAGCACTTCTCTTCCTCCTTACACAGGCTCACCCTTATGCTACTCACTTCCTGAATCCCAAATCACTTCCTCTAAGGCTTGCTAACTTGTACCCTTTTCTCTATACCTTGGCACTTCCCAAATTAAACCTTTGCATCTTTACTCTCCTCCCCCTTTTCGTCATCAACAAGGGGTGTAGACAAGATTATAGGTACAAACAAATTGGGTGATGGAGTATAAGTTGAGCTGGTACCATTGTCATCCCAAACTAGCCTAGGATTGAACTTCTTGGGAGGCTTAAAGATATCCCTAAATTCTAAAATTTTAGTAAAGAGGTAGGAGAAAGTACAAGGTTAGGATTCCACCTTATCAAATCCTTGAATGCTGTTGTGTAGTTGATGCTAAATAAATAAGGAGGAGAAGGAGGAGATTTCTTGGCAGACTGCTGCTCCTCATCATCATTTAATATCTTAATGTCATCTTTAGTAATCTTTATTGCTACCAATATAAGCTCATTATTTCCATGTTGATGAGAGTTTGCTTCTTCTGAGCTATCCTCAAACATGGCTCTAAGTTTAGAATTAGTTGAGGAGACTGGCCCAACTCTAAGATTGCCAATCTTTGAAGGGATTTGCAAATCACCGTCCACCTCTACTTTTATATTTTTCCTATTTCTCTGAATAGTAGTGAAAGTCTTTGAGGTGTGTGCTTAGCTATGATCTTCAAAGGGGTCTTCTTGAGCATTCTCATGTATAGAGTCATCATAAGGATGTGGGCATTCTAAAAGCATAATAGTATTCAGATGAATCTTTTGGTTCAGATCTTCCTCCCAAACGTCATTACTTGAGTGATTTTTACAAATAATAAAGTTATTATTGATTATATAAAATTAATA